AAATTATAAAATGTCCTCACCTTAGCAGAAAAACTCTTATTTCACCCGCGTATGGAGTATACATTTCTCAACTCAAACGGTATTCAAGAGCTTTTAGCTGCCACTCAGACTTTGTAAAACATCACCGGGGACGGAGCAAAACATTATTGAGCCTGGGTTTTGTCAAAGAACGTCTCGTCCTTTTTCTCAAAAAGTTCATCGGAAAGCATCAAAACCTAATAGATAGATATTCAGTGTCTAACTCACAAAGTATACACGATGGTCTTGATTTATAGATTATAGGTACTGAAGTTGTTTTTTTTTTATTTTACTTTAGTTTCCAAGTTATTTGTCTTCTAGCTATGATACTTCTTTTGGTAGCATCCCACATCGGGGTTTTTTACCTTTGGTATTACTGGTGCAGGTGGGTCTTGAGGAGATGCAATCAAGACGCAAGAGGGATTTTAAAGTGTTTTTTTTTTCTATTTTGTTTATTCTTGTATTTATATTTTACTTAATTTTTACATCGTCAAGAAAATGTACACTATATACGGTATGTACTATCAACGACAACACCTTTTGTATCGGTGTCTTTGTAAATTTTACTCTCTACTACAACTCCTTTTTTGTTGGCGTCTTTGTTTGAATTTTTTTAGTCAGTTACGTTTTATGCCTGTGATGTATAATTACACAGTTCTGGCTGCTGAATACCCATTTTTGTCAAATTCTTTTATGTCTGTTGCTCACTCAACCTTTTCAATCTAATGTACCTATAAACAACTATCATACAAGGGGGAGGTTTAGTAAGCTATACAACTAGGTTTAACCCACCATTTTCTTCAAAAAATGCCTGTACAAAGTCAGGTAATGGCTTTGGGTGAATGTGTCGTGGTCCATCAGCAACATTACAAAGTTTAATTTCTGTTGACACTTCTGATGCTATTCCTACCTTGTTTGTACCTTTCACAGATATCCTTTTACCTTTATACAAACTGATGGCATCTGATAATTGAATGTCAAAACTGAACTGTTAAGTTATTCACATAATATTGTCAAGCATAATTTTAAAAGAAATATAAACAAAATGTCAATGTTTTTTAAAACAAACCTGAAAGCTGTACTTCAGCGTAAGACTCATATTTACTACATGCAAATGAACGATAAAAATAACTGGTGGACGGAATCTTTTTTCAAGGTCTGTAAACTTCACCTGCATATCATCAAGATTTCAAACATCAATCTGGTTATCATTTGGGATCGATACTTTAATGAATGCAAAATCTACATGTTGGTTTTTTCAGTCTACCGTGGATTCATTATTATTCGTTGGATACCTATTTTCGTTGATTTCGTGGGTACAGGTGAACTACGAAATTAAATGTTCAACGAATGACAAATTTCCTATAGGCTTTATGCAAACTTCGGAGGAACCTCGAATTTAAATATCCACGAACATGTAAGTTTTCCTTAATCCACGAATATTGGTACCAACGAAAATAAATGAATCCACAGTGTTAGTTAAGTGTTGATTTATTGATTTCACCCCATTGATTTTATTTACATTGTTTTCATATGTTCTGATGTTAAACCATATTCCAAAGTTGAAAGGAGGATTGAATACTCATTGGCATGTTTGATTACCCGAATTCAGATTCGACTGATGTGATTTGTTGTCAACAATTGTTTTTCATTCATTGTTATTTGCTTAGCTTAAGTAATTAACAAACATTTTTTTGAACTGCTTCAATATTTTCTAGTGCTGTTACCCGATAATATTTTTAAGTATCATCGTTCTTCATTCTATGGTGTACACTGACCTCATTGACATTCTTACCACACTCTTATTATGATATTTTGGTCACATAACTTCCTAACTTGTCTACCTATACATACCTGGATTTCAAATGTTTAGGGTTAGGCGTCCTTGGTGTTGTGAAGGTTAATATAGAAAAGCTCTTCGGACACATGGAATTGATAAAGTGTTATTTATACTTGATATGTTGTGTGCTCCTACTCTTTAATTTAATTCATTTAATTATAAGACATAATACATACATGAGTGGCATTGATAATTTTGCTGTTATTCGCGTTCTGCCATCAAACATACATTCCACCAGATTTGCCATCAATTAAAGTCCACTCGTATTCTTCAATTGCATCAAAAGCCTCTGGTATATCTTCAAGATCGGGATCGTACATTCTTGCACATGTAACACTCAGCTATAAACAGAGGGAAAATACAAAAGTAAAGACCGTTTATTTTTGCGCTGTAAAAAAAGTCGAGGTTTATAATGATTGTTTTACGTATTCGTTTTTATTCTGTAGTTAGTCACCACTTCGGTGTTAACATGTATATCAATTATATGGTCATTTTTATATTTTATAGATTTACTGTTTGCAAAAATATGAATTATTCTATATACTAAATATTTTCTTATCTAAGGCAGATAACCTAGCCGTATTTGGCACAACTTTTTGGAATTTTGGGTCATCAATGCTTTTCATCTTTAGGCCTGACACCTTTGATAACTATTAGCTTGTCGTAATGTTCTATTGTATTGTTTATTTGTGTGTTTCTCTGTCCTGTATGTTCTTCCATTTATTTGTATTGTAGTCCTGTCATGTAATGTTGTCATTTTAGTGTTATATTAAAGCGGGAGGTTTGGCTAGCCACAAAACTAGGTTCAACACACCATATTTTCTTAAAATGTCCTGTACCAAGTCAGGAAAATGGCCATTGTTATCTTATAGTTCGTTTCTGTGTGTGTTGCATTTTAGTGTTTCTGTTGTGTCTTTGTTCTCCACTTATATTTGATGTGTTTCCCTCAGTTTTAGTTTGAACCCGGATTTGTTCTTTCCCAATCGATTTATGACTTTCGAACAGCGGTATACTACTGTTGCCTTTATTTACCAGCACTGAAAAACGGTTTATTTAATAACAATAACGGAATAAATTTCTTCCGAAATGCGCGAGGCCGAAAAAAAGATTGATAGCATGTAGACCTGAAAGGACAATAACTATAGCCACAGCCGGACATGAAATCAAAGCTTTGCATGAGGGAGATATCTTCTTTATTTTAAAATAGTTTCCCAAATTTTTAAACATCAAATTTTGATAACACAATATCCGTATCTTAATGCCAGTACCAAAGTACTAGCTACTGGGCTGGTGATATCATCGGGGACTAACATTTCTTTCAATCAGCATTCCTATTGTTTATGAATTCAGGACACCAATTGGAATATTGTATCAACTAATAAATATTTACAAAATATGCATGTGCTGCTAAATTCTCAAAGCCATGCAATATGAAAGTTCCAATTGGAATTTTTGGAGTAGTCTTTTTTTTTTTGTCTTGAGTCGAGTTTAGATATATAATCTTAAACATGTCGATAAATAACCATTTACCACTGCAGTATTGGCATCCTCGTGGATTGATAGTTTAACACCTTTATTACTGACTCACTGGTAATTGATAGATTTGTATGCTTATCCTACTGTGCAATATTCTTAATGTACTTCGGACTTTATTGATTTCTCACTGATTTTTCACAGGCAATGGATTTGTGTGAATCTTCGTTTTCAAATGGCGTAATTTTATATCAAACTTCTCACGTAGCATTTGAAAAGAAAAACGTGTGCCAAGGCTCCATGTTGAAGACCGTACTTTGACCTATAATTGCTTACTTTTTATACATTGTGACTTAGATGGAGAGATGTCGCAATGGTACTTATACACCATCTTCTTATTTATAGTTAATATTCTTTTAAAAATGTAGAAGTATTATACTACCTTATGTGTCTCTAACGTTACTGATAGTCCACCTGTCACTGGTGTATTAGGTATGATAGTTACTCCATTGCTGTATATGATTGGAAAACATATATCATCAACACAAAGCTTCACCTTTATCATGTTTATTCTGTAAGTCAGACCTGGTTCTAGATTCAAATATCCGATTGTCATTCTATGATGGTTTCACATGTAAGTAAAATCAAGAAATTCAGTCCAGTAGTCTAAGAAAATATAAGTAGTGCAATGATGCGTTATAATTGCAGCGATAAATCAGAACGAAGTGATCAAAATATAAGAATATGCCAACTGAATTTATCTTAACTCTAACCTTACACAACTTATATTCTTGGTACTAAAACGAGAGAGGCGAAATATACAAAACGGTTACATAAAATCACAGGTCGAAGACAATTTGACAACGCCATAGCAAAAAAACAACAAAACAAAAACGAAAACCGCGAAAAGATAAAACAACAGCCTAAAAAACAAACGATTAAAAAACTAGTAATTTATTATATTATTTACTTTACCATAGAAACACACACTGTACTTTTGTCACTTTGGTAACAGCTGAAACAACTATAATCACTTTAATTACCTTTTAAGCAGATACTATTTGTTACACTTTATGATAGCAAATAATAGATTATAGTCGCTTCGATTATCATAGTAATAAGAAGTATATTGCCGTAATTCACATATCTATGTCGATATCTAGGTACATATATATAATGTTAAGTTCATAATTATATAAGCAGCATCAATTTATACAGTTTCTTATGAAAATGCATCTAAAAAAGTGTCTCTTCTTATTAACAAGTTAACTGATGATCAATATGTAAATCGAAATGTTGTATTTTGTAATGTGTTGATAACATGAATACATTTCATAAATAAACAGTAAGATAACCAGGTAATCTTTTGTCCTCATCCTTCTCTTTCCCTTAATAAGAGCGGTCTTTTAATTTTTTTTTTAGAAAAATAGGATGAATTTAACTATAGTTTTTGCTTTATATAATGAAGGAATATATATACCAGACATCGATATAAAAGAATTTGCTCATGTATTTATCTCTGGAAAAGACTCCGTATGCAATATGTTTCATAAAATATAATTCAAATCAGAAGAAGATGGTCAAATAATAATTATCTAAACGAACTTGCAATAGAAACCAATGAGAGACCATATTTCTCTTCAAGAAATCTCTGCATTTTAATTTATACCTCCAACTGGAGACTTCTCATCAACTCCCCAATATGCGTTTTGTACAAACGTATTTGATGTCGATTGAATGCTCCAATAAGCTTCCAGCATTGTTGTCGAAGATTGAAAGTCAATATCTTCTTCACACTAAGGAACTGAATTCTAAAACGATTATTTGAATAAAAGATGTGAACCATATCTTAGGATTAATATGTCCTAACATTTTATACGTAAAAATAAATGAAATATACTTTCGAAGAACTATTAGTTACTATAGTTCAAACTTCTTCAAAAAAGCCATTTTTGACCAGCATAGCTCATTCACAAAATTTTAGTGCAGTGTTGTTATTTTTTTTTTTTCAATATGAACTAAACAATCTGCATTGCATATAATTGTATTTTTGTCCACAAAAAAGTGTGAAAACTGACCATAGAGTTTAAAACTTACCAATATGTGATGACTGCTTTGGAGAGTCAATTTGTCTAAAATGAAAATTAACTATCTATGTTTACACCATACATTAAAAAGAGTGTATTGGAACTACCATTATCCAATACTTTACACAAGATTACATTAATTTGAACGAATTTAAAGCCAGAATTACAAATATACTAATATTTGACATCACTTAACATGTATGAAAATAGATAAGTAAGTGTGTATTTTAATTCTGTCACTTTTTTTTAGTTTGGATTTATTTGGTCAATCTTGTTTTTGTTTAAGCTGTTGCGTTTTTTCTTTTTACCTTTTTTCTTTAATTAATTTTGATTGCTGTTTGTTCTTCTACGGCTGTCGATTTTTTTATTTCACCATGGTATCTTCTAAATTCTTTTTTACTCTTTTCCTCGAATTTGACAGTACCAAATGAAAGCAATTTACAATCAGTTACCATTTAATTTCATCAGCAACACGACGGGGTCACATGTAAAGCAGGAAATTCCAACCGTTCCAGAGAACCCGAGTTCACTTTAGTTTTTGGTGAGGTGCGTGTTCCTTAATCATTAGTTTTCTGTTGTAGTTTTAGTTATTGTTGTTTATCTTTCTGTATGTTTTTCTATTCCTTTAAACGTTCAATTGCATTTTGTATGGTCAAGACCTTTTTTTTTTTGTATTTCAAATACCTGAACAATTGAATCCATCCTTAATGATGATTCCTATGAGCGGTGTTGATGTATCAAAAATAGTAACTCCATCTGATGATATGACAACAGATCCTTTTATTGATATTGCTTCGACACTTCTATAGTAAGTCTGTAATAAATATAATTAGTTCTAAATTTTGTTTAGGTATGAAATGAATCTATAGTAGAAAAACAGAGGCTATGGGGTCGCATGCATTAGTACGCAATATCTATTTTTTTTCAATTAAAATCGTACCATGTAGGTCTTCACTTCCAACTTTGATAAGAACCTTTTCAAGAACTGTAAATAAATTGATGTGATTGGGAAATGACCGAGAGCTTCTGATAATAAGTTTTAGTTATAACTGAAGTATTTCCGAAAATGATTTCGGAATCAGAACTATGTTCAACCGTATTATAAACTCATATATCACATGAAACCTGTAAAATATCGAATCAATGAATTTTATACAAATGTAAAGGGGTAGAAATATCAAAACATTACCTCCGATCGTTTAAACAATAAATTGTCAAATGTGTAACTAGCTGAAGATGCATCTACTACATTTGTCTCGGCAATATCACACCTTTTTGGAATGGTACCGACACACAGTTTATATTCTAAAAGTAGATGGGGATGATAAAATCCTCTCCAAGCTAATGAAAATGTATCAACAACATCTGTAAAGTCTATATCATGTGTCTCCTAAAAAGATATAAGCATGCTATTATAGTATTTTGTCGTACAACACGTTGTTTTTAATAGACATTCTTCAGGTCTAAGAATACATATTTTGGAAAACAAAATTTTAAAAGCTTCAATTGGTTGATGAATTGATTGATATGTACTCAATCCCACTTTCAGCACTCTGAACTATATCGTTGTGGCCACTTTTTATTGGCTTAGGAAGCCAGATTACCCAGAGAGAACCACTGTCCTTCGGATGGAAAACTTGCAATCCTAGTCAAATGCGATCAGAGTTGAACGCATCTTCCATGCTAAAAAGAATGTGTCACACCCCTATATTTTTTTATAAATCTTATCTTGCTGGTAATATTCGCTTTCTAAAGTTTCTATCTATCAGTTATAGTGTTTAAGGTATAAAGTTAACACGCAAAACCATGGTAAAAAAAGCCATTCCAGGACACGAACTATAATAAGAAGTCGACTGATAGTTTCGGCCATTTGAATTATTTGTAGATCTTGTATTACTGATCATTTTTTCTATTTCACGTTTCTCTCTATCTATTCTTATGTTCAAGATAATAGGCAAACACGAAAAAGAAAGGTAAATGTCGTCATTCAAAGGCAATAACTCTTATTAAAATTTTATTTTTAAAGTATATAGACAGTAAGTAGATCTCAACATTATGAACTTTTCAGCCCCAGTCCATTTGTTCGTACATATCGGTGGTTTTGACTGGTGACAGCTTTTCCTGAACGACAGTGGACTAAAATCTAAGATATCCGTTCCATATTTAAGACGACCTGCAATGAAATATCAAAAGTCTACTACATGTATCGCATTACCCATAAAACATTGTTTCCTATTAACAAAATATAAAAACTATCAGGAAAAATATACTATTCTTGTCGCATTTTTCTAGTTTGATTTCGTTGATTTTTATGTTTTGCTTTCTGCAATGGCGTTGTAAGTTTACATTGCAATATTTGGTTTTGTATATCCTTTGATATCTTCGGCCTCTTTTTAAAATCATTTTCCGTAAGATCATAAAACTGTTTAACCATCTCCTTACACGTTCTAAGTATCAAGTTTTCGTGGAAGCAAAAAATGCAAAAACGACAAAATGTGAACCGCTGTTTTTAAAATTTGAAGTTTGGTGCTAGTTTGGAATAAATTAATATATTTAATTTTCATGAAAACATTATTTTGCAAAATAACACAATTATTCTATACTCATATGCATTTAAAAAAAAAACATACTACTAAAAATAACTTGGATATAAATTAAGGCAATGTTGTCTAGGTAATTCCTGGAAGATAAAGTTTTGTAAGTCATCTTTCACAAAAAAAAAGAAAACAAAAAGAAAACCCAAAAAAAAACGATTGGTCATTTTTAAGAACAAAAGACATTTCATTTGTATGAATTATGAATTTATTCTTTATTCATTCAAACCTTTACGAACTTGACTGTGAACGGAAACGAATAATGTCATTGTTTAATAATAAAAATAAAAATCTATATAAATTCCCATATCCACGTATTAACAACTGCCTATTGCATTTGTATGTTTAATTATTTCAACTGATAAAACGGTATAGAATTATCTGTATTGCATAGTCATAGATATAAGAAGATGTGGTATGAGTCAATGAGACAACCCTCCATCCAAGTCAAAATTTATAAAAGTAAACCATTATAGGTCAAAGTACGGTCTTCAACACGGAGCCTTGGCTCACACCGAACAGCAAGCTACAAAGGGCCCCAAAAATTATGTTCATACTATAGAGTCTATAGTATTATACACATTGAATATATTCGTATCATTATGTTAACTGCTAAGACTGTTCAGAATTATACCTATTGCATATTCATATGTCATTGGATATGGATCTTCTTCATCGACAAATAATATTCCGGACCAATTAGCAACCACCACGTCATTTTCTAACTTACCGTTTTTTCGACCGTTGTTAACTCTTGGAGATGATGTATCAATGATGATTGGTCCTATACTCTGTAATATTAGGTACGTAATATATGATTCCATGTACAAAGAACGATCTTACAAAATGAAATTCATGCCGTTTTGATGATTTCTCATTAGATAGTCATAGCTGTTAACCTATAAATTGTCACATGTGTAAGGCGCATTAATAAATAAAATGTTATTCTTTTTTTTCATTTTTTAAGTTGTTAGTCAATGATTAACGCAAACGATCGTGAAAATAGAATTGAAATTGACGACAACAAATGGTATGATTGTTTATCTTAAAATATTTGAACTAATATTAAAACCTCATTTACTTTGATTTTCATCTAACCAATAAAATAAGCGACTTTCCAGCATTCCCTCAACGCCAGCCTTACTTATAGCCTTTATTATAACATAAAATAATTTTCCTTCATCAAGATCTGAAATGATTGTGGTGTTTTGTAGACTGGAACGGTACTTTGTCCGGAGCTGCACTGCTCTTTGTTGTTGAAAGGCCGACTTCATAATCATATACTAGAACATCATCAATACCAGACTTCCAACTGATAAGTAGCTACAAAATTTTGAATGAATGGAATATTCGAAAATGGAGATACAAAACTTGTCAAATTCTCAAAAACCCTTAGCAATTTGTTAGTTCGTTTGGAAATGACAATAATCGAGACCTCTAAAGACATTTCCGGTAACCAAATAACCATCTTTTTTTATTGCTTATCTTATTTTAGTGAGTACAACTCTTCACATGAGACCAAATGACACTGCAGAAATTAACAACTATAGATCACTATACGGCCTTCAACAATGAGCAAAGCCCATACCGCATACTCAGCTTTAAAAGGCCCCGAAATGACAAATGTAAAACAATTCAAACGAGAAAACTAACGGCCTAATTAATGTACAAAAAAATGAACGAAAAACAAATATGTAACACAGTAACAAACGACAACCACTGAATTACAGGCTCCTGACTTGGGACAGGCACATACATACAGAATGTGGCGGGGTTGAACATGTTAGCGGGATCCCAACCCTCTCCCTAACCTGGGACAGTGGTGTAACAGTACAACATAAGAACGAACTATTATAATCAGTTGAAAAGGCTTAACTCGTCAGATTGATACAAATAGAAATACATCTAACAAAAGTGGACGTGGCCTGGTACTTGTACATCCCAACAACAAGGTCCTATTTAGTCATAAAGCTACTATTTAGCTATAAAGCTCCTCAAGTGACGAAGTCT